TGGGAGAGGAATTCAACGTTTTGAAAACATCTGAGGTCTCTGCACCCAACGACTTGACTGCAAAGTTGTTTCGTGTTGACCCATCCTATTCGAGGATGCGCCCCGCATTCGACCTGCATCCAGGGCAGTAGCGAGTTCGACGTTGCTGTACCTGTTTGCTCTTCTTAACGGCTGAAGAACTAGACGTAGAAATTAGCGTTCCATCCTCTTGAAGCTACTGCTCCATCTTCTTAGATTCGTAAAATACTTCTAAGGACTTTTCCATATGAGACCCTCTTCGGGACATTTTCGCTTTTCTCCTAGACCGTTAATGCTTTCAATTTATGCTCTTTCTTCCTGAAATCGATTCCTTTCTGAAGCAATTTTTTTTGAAGAAGAGCTGTGAAAACACAACACAACTGATCACATCAAAAGCTTTATTAACTTTTTTTCTATAACAAAAGTTAGTTGTTCAAAGTATCATACAGCTCAAATCAAGTTTACATTGCATTTCTGCTGCTGATATACCCATTATAGAAAGTGACAGGTATTAGCTCCTAACAAGAATATGGTATGGCTGAGACGCGTGCAGTCGCGACGCGTTTAGAAATACTAACAACTAGCGGGAGATTATAAATGGAAAAGAAAATGAGGTAGGCACGAGAAAAGCTGTATTTCTTGTTCAAGGGCAACTTATTGATTGGTCCTGTGACTCACAGCGGTCGTGTCGCATACGCCCGCCCAGACATTATTGGGGCCTATGTGAAATGAAATATGTATGGCTAAGCGTGAATTGATTCTATGAGTATGCCATAACCGTAAGGACAACAATAGTAAATATTAAGGCCATAACCGTAAGGACAACAATAGTAAATATTAAGGTATTAAGGAAAATCGAAATGATCCTCAAAAACTTGTTACTCATTTTGACTAGGATATGTGAACTCTGTTGAGGAGAAACTTAGGCTGTATTTAAGGCCAAAGCATCGTATACAGCATTCTGCAGTCTCATGTAGTTGCGGCAGAGATCGTATACACCCGCTTTTAGACCATTTGTCACATAGGCGATGACAACCTTCGTCTTTGGGTCGAATACCACTTGTTGACATCCATGTCCCGAGTGACCGATCATGACATCTTTCTGAAAATAAAGTACCACAGATTTTCCCTTTTCACACAAGAATGAGCGTTCTCCCAGGAACAGCTGCACCTGAATACGAAGCTGGCATCACGTTTAGGGTAAAGTCGCGTCTATTACGCCGGTGATTGCTGTGCGCCGCGACCCAGTTCTAGGGCATCTCTTGACCTCTACCGAGGGGCACGAACGGGCTTCATTTCAGAACTACTCCAATAGTAGAGACACCTCCATTTCACAAAAGTCTTTACGAAAAGAAACCTCAGGGCTCGGATGTAGATCTGCTTCAGTAATCACCAGCCCCAAGAAAATACCGACAAAGAGGTGATATAAATTCCTCGGCAGTTTGGGAAACCCTTTCTGAGCAGGAACCTCAAACCAGAGACCAGAGAGACTTTTCAGAAAGTTAAGAACTACCAACTTACTCCAGTTTTCTTTGATTGCGAATAGAAGAACC